ATTCAGAACATGCCTTGCTATGAAGAAAGAACTGGAAGAGTTTTCATATGTATTTTCATGTTTATACCTGGCACTGTGATGGTAAGACTGCTATTTGCTTTTATTTCAAATGAAGGGTTTTCAGTACTGCTTGCCCCCATGCTTATTTCAGAAGGCTGTATAAATCTTGCCCCAAATGGGAGTCATTTTGAACATATTAAATAATGATTTTTCTATGTCTCTCCCACTTTGATGTAGCCTCCCAGGAGAAAGAACTATCCTGTATACACAATTTGGTCAGGTTTAACAATTTGATGATCTCTTCAGAATCCTTCAATAAAATGTAAGTTTATTTTTAAAAAAGAACCTCTGCACTTAGTTCAGCTAATCAGAGGCCCTGTTCCCACAAATTATACTGTAGCAAATTTTTTGAACGTATACTTTAAATTCAAAATTCGTTTCTTATTGTTAAAGGTTTTTTTTTTTTTATCATTTGATTAATTGCTTAAAACTGTACACAGAGATAAAGGGAACTTTGAAATTCATACCTTGGAGTATTAACATGTACTCAGGACTAGATGTATATGTCAGAGAGAAAAAAGATCTAATGAACTCTTTATTGGTGAAATACTGTATTGCAGCTGTCTAGAATTTTAAATGGTTTGTAGTTAGCTCTGAAGCAAAATAACTACAGAAGTTTACTGGCAGCATGGACTCTCCTTCAGCATTCCTAAGGTCTTCTTCCAGGGTGGATGGAAGCCATTTGTTTTGCTAGAAGTTGCAACTACTTCATTTTGCTGAAGTCCAGTGGATCCTTTTAATGTTAGAAAAATGTCCAGGGGAAAAAAAATATCAAAAAACCCCAACAAAAAAAAATGCAACTGCAGAAGAATTTTTCTGTCCAGAAAATTACACCACCATAAGTTTTCCTTTTCCCTGATATCTTCTCTGCCATAATAATGGCTTCAGGATTTAAATCCTTTGCTGCTATTGTGACTTCAAAGCCTTAAAACTGCAATTGAATGAAGTAGTTCATCTGTCATTATTCAAATATGAAGCAATTATGATGAAATAAAGATAGAATTCCATTGAGAAATACCACAATCAATTCTCACTTATATTTAACTAGAAACATAAAATGATGCTTAAGAAGAGTAAGCTTAGGTAACAAAAACTTGGAATATAAGAAGTATGAATTACTGATCTATAACTTATTCATTTCTGAATAAGCTTTCTAAATATATTTCACAAATATTGACAAAAGTTTAAGCTTACAATGCAAAACTGGCTCTCAGCTGGTCGTAGAGAGTAACTAGCTTTTCAGAAACATTTTCATCAGTTTGGGTCCTCAGAGGTTCCGATGAGAACCTAACTGAGATTTTTAAGCATCTCTGAGCACGTCAGCTCCCTATGAAACATGTTAGATCATGACATGTTAATTGCATCTGGTTCAAGTGGGTTTTATAAGCAAGTATATGAAATAACACAGCTTCCCCTGTCATGTCTTCATTATATTGCTGCTACGGCTTTGATGCTTACTCATCCTGTAAGGCTCCTCTGTGGATTTAGCCCTAGAGGCTTATTTTCACCTTTCTAACACAACCAAGGCCCATCCCGACCCCTGGGGCTAGAATTTCACAGGGCAGTCTCACCTGCACCCAGTTGGATTTGGGAACATGACCATAACATAACATAGGTTAAAAAGTTAATTCTTTTCTTGTATTATCTGCCATCCTGCCCTCCTCCTTTCATCTTTCTCGCTTAATCTAACCCTGTATAATACTGTGCTGATAAAACAGAAGCAAGGTGGATTCTGCAGTAGTCAGACCAAGGGCTCCCAATATTCTGCATCTTAAGCTTTTCGGCTGTGTCATGTCCTTCCCATTCTCAATCATGCAGCAAGCTCAGATTTTAAATTTCTCAGATGAGAAAATAACTGTATGTCATAATTTATTTTTCACCCATAGTGCTCTGTTCATTTGGAAAATTAAACCATCTTTCTCGGCTCATGGAAGAAGAATTTGCCTTGTCTTTGGTCTTCCCATTGCAAAACAGGGTAAGATATTCACAAATGGATCCTATAGTATTTTTCTCCTTACATTTTCAGCAGTTGCAGTGAGTTTGAGAGATCTGTACAATATTAAACTGGCTTGTTCCAAGAAAGATCACATACAATGAGGGATCTACATACTCACATTTATCTTCCTTCATATTGTAGGCATTTTATCACTCTACCTGGGTATCAATTTTCTGTCATCTGCAGACACTCATGTCTTGCAGTTTAATTTGAAAAAGGTAATTTCTTCAGACAATCCAAGAACTAAGTGTTATCACAATTAGAAGGCAGTAGTACTTAATACTGAATTTTAAATCAGAGACATAACTAGCAAGAAGTATTCGGGGTGTATACAATTAATTATTTCACACATAATTATTCCTGATATTACTCTAAATGTGATAACTTAGAACATTTGAAAAAACAGACCGTAATATTCCACTTTTTTTTTTTTTTGCACAGAAGCTCTTTCACTTGATATTCTCTTGCTAAATAATATGTAAAATACTGACACCTAATGTTAACTTTCAGTATTATTCATTTTGCAAAACTCGTACTAAAAGTAAGAAAAGATCATGTGAAACAGGTGTTTATGCTGCAATTTTGTTTCAGAAAAACGCAATATATCTTTCCCTCACTTTTTGAAAATAATTTTCTGAATTTATTTATATATGCCTGTAAAAGTAAGGAGCTTTCATGTTTACCTCACATCTCATAGGTAAAAATTCATCAAATGGAACACAAATGTTTATAAATAAAGTCAATATTTGCACCTGTAGCCTGAAATGTTACTAAAAGACAAAATACTATTAAACATTTATTTATGATCTATTACCTTTTGAAACCTGGTCTGAATAGAGTCAGTAAGTACTTTACCTACCCTACTTCACTGACTTTCCTCAATCAGAGATATGAGAAATTGTTTGTGAATTAAGGTAGATGCCAAACTGTGACCTCAAAATTCACCATTTATCTCCCTGTAACTTCCAACACAGCTAGACCAAACCTGATATCTAGGTGCTATTCAGAAAGAGATGTTGAGGTTCTTACTCTTCATGGGTTTACTAAGGTCTCTCTGATATCAAAATAAGGTATTTCATAGTATGACCAAGTGTCATATCTGGATTTATATTAAGCTTTCCTAACTTAATAGGGAAGACGTGACTTAGCTAGAGCAGTACAGCAACACAAGTGTCTCAAAGGCACTTGCAGTGGATTAAAACCCTTTTCAACACTGTCAACCAACACAGTTATATAGTCAGTGCTTTTTTCATCAACAGTCACTTCATGGAAAATGGTCCTTGTCTAAGATCATGTTACTTGACAGATGAAAGTAGCTGTGCTGCAGATGCCAGTATAAAAATAAAACCACAGCCGCTGAAATAGAAATACCTGGTTTGCAATACAATGAGACAGTCTCAGTTAAAGTGATGACATCAATGTAATCAAAACTTCTTGAGCGAGCCAGAGCTTTCCAACTGATTAAAACTCCTATGCTATTCTTTATAACAATATGCTACTTTAAGCAGCTGTTCTTACTCTTCACAGGTGCTAAGAATACCAACAAATGCTTTATTTGCAGTTCTTTCAGCTTTTCCCTCTATGTTGCAATCAATTAAACAGGTGCTACTGCCCAAGGATTTAAAAAAAAAAAAAAATTGGGGGGGAATTTTAAAGCACAGGAAGAGCCTGTGAATACCCTTAGGTTTCCATGTGCAGCAGAAGATCACAGAATCACAACATGGTTTGGGTTGAAAGCGACCTTAAAGACCATCTAGTTCCAACCCCCTGCCATGGGCAGGGACACCTTCCACTAGACCAGGTTGCTCCAAGCCTCATCCAGCCTGGCCTTGAACACTTCCAGGGATGGGGCATCCACAGCTTCTCTGGGCAACCTGTTCCAGTGCCTCACCACCCTTTCCAGGAAGAATTTGAGAAGGTGGTCAAAGAAGAGTGCAAAAATTTCAACCAGAAAAAATGCCCTTGAGCCGAAATGGTTTGGAGGACTCCTCACTTCTACCCCCAAACCCTTTCTCACCCTTGAAATGGAATTTTAAAAAAAAATACTACCAGAAGTAATTTTCTAAGTGTTTCATATGGAAAAAAAATCAGACACATTGAGTAGCATCAGAGAGAATATTTAAGTTGATTCTTGAAAAAGGGTATGCACTGAATAGCTACAGACTTAGGAACCGCTTTGCCAATTAGGCAAGGGTGTTAGTTATATCTTAAACCAACCCCAGGTAAAGTGTTAGTCAAATGTAAGCAAGTTTTCCTCATTGGTCTTAGTTGTCTAGCAAATCTCTGTAAAAATCTGGGCCACGCTGTGAGTTAACAATGATATATTTTGCTTCTGCTTAAACAGTTCAGAGTTCATTTTGCCTAATCCAAAATAAGCCTTGTTAAAACTGCACTAAGTGCTTAAACACCCCTTCACACTGGCTTACATGAACTTAAAATTGTTCTTAGCTTTTTCAAGCGTATTTTCTTCAAGATGACTACCTAGAAAGATAAAGAATAAAGGCTTTGCTTTAGCTGACTGTATGACACCAAAGAAGGTATGTGCAATGTAAATTCATTCTTCAATTAAATCATTTATCAAACTAGAACTTCAAAATGTTAGGCCCTTTGAAAAACCCAGTATGAGGCAGTTAACAGGTTTTGAACAACTAATTGTTCAACTTCTACTTTTCAAGTACACCATGTACTTTAAATAGAATTGATAAATTAAAAATGTAAATTGGACTGTATCTTTTTACTGTTGGTGATTTGTCTATTTTCCACTTTTTATTATGCACCATTTTTATAATAAAGGAGGGATTTCTTTTTCATTCCTGTTCTAGTTGATAGCAATTCTTCCATGCTTCTCAAAGTTAATGTAATAAAACTACATAAAATGTTTAAGAAAAGCCCCATTAAAATACACAAAGCATACTAATTCATGAAGTCAAAGTCAAAGCAGAGTGGAAATATGAGCTTTAATAAAACTATGTCTGTTGTAAATAACTATTCAAGCACAGTCATTTTTTTGCAAATTGCATGGGATATAGCTCAGTCTATGCAAAGCAAAGAATCGCTCAGCGGGATAAATGCATCTTAGTCAGAAATAGATTAAAAGATACAGCTGAGCCATCAATAAGAACCAGATAGTGCAGTATTGTTTGCTGTTTGTTTTGAAGATGTAATTGCAGATCCCAGGATTTCAATAAATCTGTGCACATCATGGAAAGAATTGTAGAGAGGAACTGGGGCAATGCGAAGAGCATTTGGTTCTCGCATGTCACACTGCAAAACAGAAAAGGAATGCTTAGTAAATTCAGGTCACTTCATATTTATCTGTAAGACTGTATCTTTAAATTTCATCCTTGTCTTCAAGGAATAATGACTGGACCAGCACGGAGAGACATGTAAAAACTTTGGGCCCCCCCCA